ATGGCACAATCGTATCGTAGGTACCAGTATCGATGTTTTTTGTTTTTTGTCGAGTAATCTGGAAACGAATGAGTTCTTTCCTCGAGTTTTTTCTCGAAAGTCTGACGAAGGGTCAGAATTAGTTCCTTTTATTTCTTGGGAATGAGGAATGTAACAAATTCCTTTTCAAAAGGAACGCTAAAACACTGAATATATGCGTGAGTTTAAATGATCACATGCGCTCGCGTATATGGACTCAAAAGCGGATCTCTAGAAATTACGTGTATAATAAAAACGATAAATACCCTAGTAATGGTGTCAGGGGTGGAGGCGGATTACATATATTACTCGTGCTTTTCGTAATTTAACTTGACGTCGGGAGTGTGGCGAGTAAATGAATTTGGGATTTACGACTACGGGTAAAAACGACGTGATATTCGAATTTGTTTTTATTATTTTTTTTTGCATTCGCCTTTCCTCTTATTCTTTCCACGTGGTCACTAATTCATTTCACGCAAGTATAACGCTCGAAGGTTTGTGTAATTGCTTTTTTTATTATTATTATTATTATTATTATTATTATTATTACTATTTTTATACCGCTTTTCGTAGTTGTACGACCAATATCGCCGTTGAAAAAAAGACATGATTAAAACACACAAACACATACATTCTTCCATATTTCGGTATGATTGTATTGTGTACATTTTCCTACAGTTTATTCCTACTACACCATGCAAGTGTTATAGGCGAAAAAAATACCAAAGCCACTTTTGATTATAAGTCGGCTGTTATTTAATCGATTCGTTAAAATATTAAGCAATAAGCGTATAATCGAAATATGTACGTTTAAAATAATAACAAACCCTTGTCCTATTGTAATAAGGTATGAGTAACAATAGGTATTCTTTAATACATTTATAAAATAGTAAATTTGTGTATCTTATATATATTTATTTCTAACACATTTATGCCTAACGTTTACAACTAAATCTGAGATTGTAATTTATGATCATTGATCACTAATAAAGATCAAAGTTTTCATACCGTATCATCTAGAAATAAATGTTATTTAAGTACATCTTTTACAATTCAAGTCACAGAATAATAATATTATAAAGTACGTGTATGACAACCGATTGAGGAATACGTGTGTTAATCTTTCATTAGTACTGGTGTTGGGTACGGATCCGTCACACGTCGCGCGGACTTCGGTCGACCGTTCGTCGTTATCGCCCTATCTCCCACCCCGAGCACACGCGCTTCATACGACACTTATCTCGCCGTTGTCGCGCGTGTTTATGTTATCGACTTTGCGGTCCGTCGTCTCTCGTTCCGTTGTGCGTCGCCCAGCCATCTTGGTTTTTTCGTTCTCACGGAATATTGTGTCTTATACTTTTGCGGCCGTTTGCGCCAAAATCACCGCCCGGACAGTGCTAATGTCCGTTTCGTGTTGTGTCATTCTGCACACACACGAAGTTCATTTCTTTGTGGCCGTCTGCGCCAAAACTACCGTTTTTGTTTTCGCCCGCCCGTCGTTGTACGCAGTGCGATCCGCCGTGGTCCCCGCGTGGTGTTCGCCGTTCGACAAACGCCGCGACAACGACGTCCATACACGACGAGCCGTCATATTACGCGGCCGTACGAGCTGTTTGAACCCGCTTCGACGCTTCGTCCGTTTTCGACACATTCGTCAACCATGACGTTTAATTACGCGGCAAGCTCATGGGTTCGTTGACCTGCCGGCCGACGTTGCCCTAGTCGACGTGTGGTGTACTGTCGCGATCCGGTTCCATCTTCGTCAGCTGATCGCCGTTCTGGGACAATCACACCACCCTCACAACTTTACTGTATCATCGGCGTTATCAACGCATTATCAGGTCGTACACAATTTATATTGTTGTTGTTTTATTATTCGCATCGCGCGAACTGTGTATTAATTTAATTATTTACATTATTTGATTTATTTGCCGTTCGGATTGTGATCGTGCACAACAATTTATATTTACTACTAACCCTAGTCGTTAAGTTACGAATTAAATTATCATATTTGCAGAACATCCAATAAATTATTCTGTACTTTTTCATATACCAAAAAAAACGTAATTGTTAAAGTTCATTTATATCTATCCTTAAAATCATTATTATTATCATTTATCTTAAATACAGTCCACTCTCTCATCCTCCTCCCCACCGATATAGCTTCGAGGAATATTTTTCATATACGAAGACAACAAGCGCGTTGGTTTACGTGTAGCTGCCGCCTGTGCACACACATACAGGTAAATTCGCCGCCCGGCTTCATTGTGCANAAGCGCGTTGGTTTACGTGTAGCTGCCGCCTGTGCACACACATACAGGTAAATTCGCCGCCCGGCTTCATTGTGCAGCCCCCTCTTCGCACAACTGGATTTATAGTTTTCGAAAGCAAAGACGTAAGACTAAAGTAATTTCAATCAGATGAAATTATGGTAGAATACACCTAATAAAGAACCAGAAATCTTAACTCAAATTTTCAACTTAAAAAAAAAAAGAGTATCTAATAGATTGACACCATAAAATATATCATAGTTTGCTTTAGGAACTTTAAATAACAGATTTTGTAGGTATACTTTTTTATCAAACAATAAACAACTTAAATTACCTATTAATGAGTAGTAGTGACCAAAGCATTATTTTTAATATATTAAATTGATATGATATATAAATGTGTAGACTACTCAGTCCGACGAAATGGTTTGTTATTTTAAATATATGGTTAAACGAATCCATTAACCAACCATGTAAAATGTAATGTCCAGAAAACTATAAATATATTTATGACATCAAAAATAAATTATCTTAGAAAAAAACGGGGGACCCGAACAAACGTTAACCTTCTGTAGTCGAATCTTAAACATGTCCACTCATCAAAGCTGCTGTGGGCTAAACATCAATTATAAACAGTCAAACAATTCCAGTTAAGAATATGTTATATGGAACACATGGCAAACAACTGCAATAGTATGCATGACACATTTTTCTAAAAAAAAAAAACATCTCTGAAAATTTTGATTTCTAACTAATTCAACTAACCGAATCAATTAATAAATGTATAATCACTAGCATTAGTTGTACAATTGCGTTATGGAACTAAGACAGTGACTCTGAACATCAAACTACATAAATTAATAAAACAACCCCTCTCAAACAAATACACAAAATCATTATTAAAGTCGAGTAAATCTTTGTTTTTTCATATCCTGAACAATATTCAATTTAAAATACAAATATTTACAAATAGTTTCCAGGTGAAAATAAGACAAATGGCAACTATAACTTGTTATTAATAAAAATTGAATGGAAACTGAAATTACATTATCTACATAGTATATATAGGTTTATTTCACCAGAGTGTTCTACTAGCTCTAAACTTCCAAACTAGATCTGATTAAAATTGTCAGCCAACTCTATAAACAAGTTCAAAATGCTTCAATTTGAACTACAACACTCGTTTATCAACAATTTCAAAAATGTTCGTCTCTGACCAGTATGCCATAGTCCTTAATTTTAGATCCGTCGTATGCGGAATAAACTACTTTGGCATTACTCTTATTCAAGTAGTATAATTCATTAATCAAATAAATACTCCATAATTTCTCTCTGTAAATACCTGGATAAGCTTTCAATAGTGACTCTAGTTTATATTTCAAATCCATGCTTTACAAGTGAGAAAATATCTATACAATTTTTGTCGTAGAATCAAGCTAAAGCATCCGCCATCATATCTTCTCAAAGATTATTTGAATTTGTTTGCATTTGTTACCTCTACGATAACCAGGCGGTTGACGCTTTGGATACCTTGTTCTCATCCCGGTTTGTCTGTTGCCTGTCTGATCCAATCCTCCACACCATTAAGAAACAGGATTTCCTTAAACATCTAGTAGAAGACTGTTTTCTCTGACGGGTCCGGGAAATCCCTACGTTATATCCTATCAAAAACATCATAGATCCTTAGATAACCATGTAATATTGGGTATATTTTTGCATGGAGTATCAATTAGATATTATTTGTTTACAGCTGTTTACTTACTCACTTTGCTGTTTGGCACTTTAAACACATAAAATATTTAAGGGAAATATTTACAATATACATACACAATTTAAAAATATTGAAAAATGAATATAATTAAGTTCAGTGCACATACCCGTAATAACTGTTATTATTTTATTTTAGTTGTCTCTTTACAAATAACTATTTATAGGTACACATTATTAATTTTAAAAATTATAATACATACCTACACCTTCACCCCCTAACTTCCTCAGTATAAAATCATGTAACTACCTATTACATTATTATATAATTAAATAATCATTACTTAATAACTTTGTGTACTGTGAATTTCATCCTTTTTATGGTTTTGTATTGACTAACCGCCATCGCCACTGAGACCAATATTAAGTAACACACTTTTCTAAAACTATAGTAGGTAGCTGATAATGTGAGTATTTAAAATAATTGGTATTTTCACATTTGACTATACTTCTGAATATCATGTTATAGTATTTGTTTCCCATTTGAAGTCCACGTGCAATCAAAAATCCAATTGTTATGACAAATTACTTATTCGGGAGAAAATGTTCGTTAAAGGTTTTCTTGTTAATATTAAAATAAACATAAATTATTATTATATTGTAATTGCATGGCACAACGGGGTACCTTTATGATTTGATCACCAATATCAACCTTACCAAATTTATTAATTTCGTTTCAAATTTCTGTGTGTAGCCCATATTATATTGCCTTTTACTTCCGAGTCAGGGTTTTATGAATAATTGATGTGAATGTATGAGGTTACGTATATGAATGTATAAGGTACGTCTCAACACGAATAGAAATATTGTATTGCTTATAATATTTTATGCTGAATCACAGACGTCGTCAAATCCATTCAACAGTATTATTAAAAACGTTATTATTTTATAGTTTTCCAAAATGAACACTTGTACTTATAATTTGGAATAACATGCTTGTTACAGATGAAATGCAAACTATATGCAAAACTCATTTTCTCCAACAAGTGTACAGAAAGATCGAAGGCGCGGTATTGGACTCACAAAACGAACGGAACTTGGATTGCGTGACCACGTTTCAAACACATTCCATCCTGCAGAGGTTTATGATACATTTTGATCGTTTGCAATTGGACTGCAACGATCATCTGTTCATATTCGATGGCGCCCATGCGGTCGGACAACATAAGGTATGTCAATCGATAATATTATGGTATTACGTTATAGGTACGTCATTTTATAAAAAAAAAAAAAAACATTTTATTTAAACGAAACGTTGCGCGCAGTATTCAAAATAATTCAAATTGATAAACGAAAACAGCATCGTGTCTTTCGACAATATATTAACAATATATTAAACTAGAATGAAATGTCTATGCTTTATTATTTTTAATTCATTGATGAATACCATATATCAAGAAATGATCTATAACCTGAGCTTAACGCCGTATGCATATAATATATAAACACATTGTTTATTATTTTTAATACGTTAATGACTGATGGTATAGCTAGCTGGTATACGAACATAATGAGTAGCTCTTAAATTAAATATATAGGTTACGTTTACATAGATGAGTTATGTCTACCAAAAAAACAATTTTCTGCCATAGTGCCACTGTAAACAAAAACAAACTGTATTTCAATTTTCAATTCATCTTGTAAACATATTAATTGGCATTTTGAGGTTGTTGAGCAAGTTGTATGAAATTATTATTTTTTAAGAACTAAAAACAGCTAATACACTTATAACCCCATTGGTAATTTACAAAAATATAGAAATCTATCATCAGTCATCACAATACCTCCATAGGTATTTAGAAATTATAAGCAAACATATTTACTGGAGACATAATAATAGAACTGAATCATCGGTATATGACATGGAGTAAACTTTTTGTTGACTCATAGATCAAATAATAGATGTATGGCATGGTAATATGGGGTAACCCCATATATTATTTCTATAATATTATTCGCAACTGTTTATATTTTATTATAAGCTGTATAGTCTACTCTACTGTGTAACAAAATAATATTAAATTTAAGTATTTAAAATATATTTTTAAGTATATATTTTGGGATTATAATGGTATTTTTACTTTAGGTACCTAGTTTTGTAAACAAAAAAGACATTATGATAGGAAGTTAAAAAGTTTCTATCTGTATTTGTATTTATTTTACCAATTTAATTTTATTAATACAAATTTTACGTATTATATGCATTTAGTTCGTAACTGTTTATTAGTTAACAAAAAGCTTATTGTGTGTATCGTGTTATATTATTTAACTCGCGTTCACGGACCAGAAATGTTGATTAAAATATTCGCATTGATAACTATGTGTCGATACGTAACGCGATATTTATTACTCACTAGTGATGAAAAATAAATCTATGTCATTTGTGTTTTATCACTGTTGGTCCCAGTGGGGTTTTTGATATTATCTATTTTAACCATTTCAATCAAGTTGGTATGGCATTACGGAAGTAAGAATATTTCCGGCTACGAAAGCGTTGACCTCGGGGGTCACATTTACTCTTCTATACCAAGGTCCGGTAAAGATGTTTAATGTTATCGATATTCGTTTCACAGTTGCCGGAAATTAATTTAGATTATAGCTTCGTATAAATGTGAAGTACACCTATATAATGTTATGATATAGGTACACGCAATATAATGTATTTTCAAATAATCGATTTATCTCAAATGCTACGGTAGGTATAACGATTGTTCTGAATAAAATTCTCATTTCGGAAAGAGAAAATGTCATTATATAAATCATCGTTTCATAAATGCTTACAGTCTCACCCGGCTCTTTTGACGGATAGGTGAATTCATTCCTGTACAGTGTACACATATTATATATTAGGTTATATGTTTGAAATTACTCGTGTTCAACACACGTTTTACGACCTACCTACCTATAGTTTCCATAAGTGAAATTATGATATTATGTTCGATAGAAGTATGGAACACTGTAAGTATAGCTATAGTAGCTACATGTGCGTGTCATATTATTATTGAAATAGTTTCATAGGTAAAAAATTCTTTAATAGTTAACCGAATAATAATAACGAGGGTTATGTATAGCGTGGTCACAAAGAAATGGGTCGATTTCCCTTTTGGTCGCACGCATAGTTTGTGATGAGTGAACAAACGGGTCGGGTGGGCACGCGACAAAAAATTATTGTGATTTTCCGCCGAGATATGCGTACGTAAAAGGATCGCTAGCCACAGACTATGTTGTTCGCCGTTTACGTACTATTTGCCCTATGGTGTGTCGCAGATGTATTATTATAATATCTGTAGCTAAAGAAATTACACCAACAAGTATGGCTAGAACAGTGGCCGTAGACGGTTCGCTTCGCATTGTTTCGGATACCTCAACAGGGGTATGTGTGGTATAAGTTACAAACCTGCACGATTTCGTTCGTCCGGTAACTGACTCAACCTACTCAAATTATTATCATACGCTTTCCTACCTAACAGCAGAAAGCTCGAATAGCTGTATCCGAGGACAGCGGTAGCAGACTTCTTATACTACTCTAATCATTCTTATTGGTGAGGTGAAAATGTTGAATAAGTTACACATAAATTATACAAAAATATTTATCGTGTTATCGCTTCAAACTGATTTTTGAGTTAATTGTCTGTGCAATATTTGTATGTTTCTATTATTTTCCGTTATAACGTATAATCGAAATATAACCTGCCCAAATATAAATAGCAGTTTCTAAGGATGTTTATGGGAGATACAAAATGAACAGGTTCATGGGAGTTCCGACAGCTCCTTTGAGATTGAAAATGTCTATTAGCTATATTGTACTATCGATTATTATATTTATCGTCATAATATCATATTATAAATCTATAAATAAACAATCAGTAACAATTGTAATGTTACCTACTTTCTTGTATGTGTGAAGTAGTATGGTATATTGCTCTAATGTACCTACCATACAATAGAAATAAACGGTTATAATATTATAATAATATTATAAAATAAATAATATATTTTTCAAATAGAGTTTTCAAATAAAGACAGTGAGTTATATTATATAGTTAGATGTACAAAAGATAAATGATTCATTAAAGAAAAATGAGAAAACGTGATAGGCGTATAACAAAAAGAAGATTTATTGTATTCATTTTCGTTTATTTGACAGTCTTCATACAGACTTATTTTTTGAGTATAATTCCTCTTTCATTTTAGATAATATTTGAACTATTGTATAATTATTATGATGTCAATAATTTTTTTTTTTAATATAAACTATTTTTTCTTCAAATGACGTGTAAAATAATAATAGCGGTTGATACTATGTACACCAAAATTACGCATTATTTTAATAAACATGCTATAGGTATTAAAATCCACCATCAATTAAATTGTTACACATATATAAAATAATATAACAAATTATTTTTTGTTATAGTTTGGCTGTCGATAGTACTAAGATTTTTTTTCATAACAAAATAAAAGTTAATAAGTAAAAGATCCAATTACCAATCGGGGCTACTGGCAAGAACTGAAGTAGTTCAAATAAATACAAAAAAAGCAGTAAAAAAAAAAATTAGAGTATAATAATTTATTAATCATTAATATTCATACGTAGGTATCTTTTTGATCATAGTATAATGATATATAAATTTAAATGGCCTCATTTATAATAAGTGTATTAGTAATTAATAAATATGTATTATGAACACAATTCGTTGGATCTCAACTCGAGAACGTTTTTCCTATATTATTAGTAATTAATAAGATATTTTAGTTTTTTTTATAAATAAAAAAATAAATCTGAAATCCTACATAATATTATATAATTTTTTTTCTATATTCTACGAAATTGTAATTATAAATGGTATTTCACAACATATTGGCCTGGGTATTATTATTTTTTTTTTCATTTAAATACAAAATGTACAATCTGTAGTATAGTATGTACGATAATCAAATATGATAAATGATGGAGAATATTTACATAAAATTATATTTACGAGAAGGGAGGCTGTCCAGTGACAGAACCCTCAAACTACATTATGGCTAGGGATTTAGTAAATCCCTGCACCAGCGTCTTTTTAGCCGCCTTGTGGGATTATTTGGTGGGTTGACTCCACCTTGAATGGCAATAAGCGGGTTGATGTTGGTGGCTAGTTTAGAGTGATATTTTTTGTAATAGTTGGATGCAACTGCGGTAATATTTTCAATTTTGAAGTCATTTTGGAGTGAGGATATTATTTCAATTCGAAATTCACTTAATTGGGAACATTATACATATTATAATACATTGATTTGGTCCATTCTCGAACCTCCAAAACATAAGTTCATATTTAAAAAAAATCAAAAGTCAGCTAATAACCTATGTAGTTGATGCTTAATCAAAAAAAAAAAAATGTTGATTATGTGTTAATGTAGGGGAAATTAATTAAATTAAAGTAAGCTTCATTGAAATATCAAACTAGGTAGTAAGTTAAGTAAATAAGTCGAAATTAACTTATTAACTCGTGTATGCTGATCTATCCACCGTATTTTTAAGCCTGTCATCATTACATATGTGGCTGTGCAATGTGTATAGTAAAACGTGACACTCCACAAAAAACGTAAAAGCAGTGACTCAGACGATGATCAAAACAAAAAAATAAAACTGAAATATTTCTTGAAGTAAAAATACCGTTTACCCTGAGTGAAAACCGTTGAACAGTAACCATACTATTACGAGTATTTATAATTTAAAGCGTTGATTTGGTAGAGTTTTACTTTTGAAATTCCATTATCAATGATTGTATACTGTTCAAACTATAATCGACTAAACGTATACTTGTGCGGTTTCTAGGTAACTTGAACTGAGGTGTGAGAAAGACGATGAATATAATAGTATCAAAGATTTAATAGAAAGAAGAAAAATAAAAAATGGGGGTGCACGGCAGGCTACATAAATACTAGAGTTCAAAAAAGCGTGCAGAGACAACTTGCATTATTGCTCTCAGACAAAGCTTTATGAAAACTATTGAAAGGCAACGACAACCTTATATCTTAGGGACGGAAAATGCGTCCGAGAATGCACTTCAAACACAAATTCTTCTGCTCCCCCGATACCCGCCACCGTAACTCATTTCCGGGTGGTCGGCTTTGTCTGCCTATACGATATATTATCACATATGAGAATGTATGTGTGTGTGAGTGGGAGTGTGTGTGAGTGTGTGTATATGTGTGCTTGTAATATTGAGTAATTATATGTACAATATTTTGTTAGGGACTTCAG